CTGTGTCCCCCTGTGCATCCCTTTGCTTTTGACTCCTCTTCCCAGAGCTGTCATCACCCTCACCGGTATTCAGTACAAAGAACCGGTTTGTGAGTGCCACACTCTCAGGGAATTTCTGCACTGCCCTCTTCCTACCAAGCTGGGCGGTCACCCACTCACTCTCCTTCTGAACCCTATGTGGCTGTAGGGTGACCACCTCTGGAAATGTTCGATCCATGAACTCTTCAGCCTACCGTATACTATGTAGTGACACCAGCCTCTCCTCGAGCTCAGAAACTCTGAGCTCAAGCTTGAGCAGCCGGAGGCACTTGCTACACACGTGTCTGTCCAGGCCACACAAAGCATCCTGGAGTTCCCACATGGCACACTCAGCTGCCCTGCCATATTCCCAGACATGGTTTATATTATTTTAATATAACTTATATATTTTATAATTCTGCACCTCTTTCCCCCTCTGTACTGAATTCCCACTCTCAACAAATTCCTTAACATAATTCTCATTCTGTTCCACCTCACTCAGTTGCCTCCTCACACTGCTGGCTCTCTGCTCTGCATTGAGAGAGAATGACAGACGAAAAATAGCCCAGAATTGAGCTGGCAATGTGCACTGTAGTGACAGTACAACATCTGATGGAATAGAGATGTAGCCAATTATATTTTATTTGATGACTCCAATTATCTGCATTGTTAAGTATGGATAATCGGCTCATTAATGTATCTCTGGGTTGGCAAAGTGTTTGATGTGTAACATATACTAATGGTGCTTTTGAATGTACTATGATGTATACAGAGAATGAACATATGCACATCACCAAGGGAAGGAAGGTGATACAAAGCACGATTGAAAAGAGGGAGAGGAAAGAAGGAAAAGCAGCGGGATTGGGAGATTGCGTTCCAGAGAAATAGGGCTGAATGGCGAAAGATTGCCTAACAATTCTGTGGTGTAAAGGTGAAGGACATGAAACAAGCCAGTGCTTGCTGAGCGCAGGGGGTGGTCAGGTCAGTAGGGTTACAGAAGGTCACAGAGGTGGGGTGGGGGGAAGGAATTTTATGGTGAAAACGAGGATCTTGAATTTGTAGTGAAGGCGAGTGAGGATAGGGGAATGGGCACACGGAGCCTGTGCGGGAGAGGACACGGACTGCAGACAATTTCTACTTGAACTCATACAAAAAGATAACTTCAACATGTTAACTTGTCTTTGTTAAATCATAAAATGAGAATTATATTCAATTAAACATAACTTACTGTTAAAAATGGGATTGATACCCATTTTACAGTACTTGAAGGAGATTGTCATCAGATTACAGGCCACAAGGGGGCGCTAACAACCTTTTTTTGTCTGTTGCCTACCTGTCAAGAAGGTCTTCCTTCAAGCTTGTAAACAACTCCAATGGATTTTTAAGTGATAAATAAAGTGAAATTAGGAATATAAAATTAAATTGTGCTTTTTATTTGACTAGGCTTTCAGGGGTCCATTTAGTCTCAGCCTAGCACAGTTGGTATCACTTCCGTCTCTGAGTCAGAAATTTGTGGGTTCAAGCCCCCCCCCCCTCCCCCATTGGGACATTGAGCTTGTGGTTTAAGATGACATTTCAATACAGTGCTAAGGGTCTGATGATTTGTTGAAGTTGTTGTCCTTCAGATGAGATGTTAGACCAGGGTCCTGTCAGCCAATTCAGTGAACACCAAAGATCCCATGGGATGATCTGAAATGAGAAGAGAGTTTCTTTTGGTGTCCTCGCCATCAATCCAGCTAATTTGCTTCATGGCTATTTATGGGACATTGGTGTGCACTAATTGGCTGCTGCATTTGCCTACACAGTTACTCCACTTTTAACAGTAAATACTGTGGAGCGCTTTGAGACATCCTCCCAATGTGGAAAGTTCTGTATCAAAAGCAATATGATACATAATGCAACTGACATTTATACGGTGCCTTTCACATCAGGGGGACATTTCAAGGATGCAAGGAATATTATGAAAGCAACTAGGAAAGCTGTGAACCAAGAGGGCTTTTAAACCATTTTGCAGAAGTGAAGCTGCTGGTTTGAGATTGACTGGAAGAGGTCGCCCTCTGCATCTACCCATTAACATCTGTTGTACATTAAGATTTTTTTGTAGAGCAGAGGAAATATTTATCTCATAATGAGAGGGTGCAGGATACATGGGAAAAGTGATTTTTACACAGCACTCATGCTCGGTAACCCAAGGGATGAGAGATTAAGCTCCTTAAAACATCCTCCTTAGATGAAAGACATTGTATAAAAGTAAATTTGTACTGTATTGTATTGAGAAATCTTATTCTGGCACATCTATAGACTGCTAACACAAGTTTTAACTGAGTCAGGGACTAATGACAGGATTCATGACAAGTTAACAGTCTCCAGAAATCTTACTCACAGCGGATTCATTTCAAAGCAAAAGGAAATTCAGGCCAATTTTTTTATTTACTGAGAACTTAGAAAGAGTTTCAGACTGTACTGTAGATAACACTGTCATACTGAAATGTACAAAGAACAAGAATCTATTTGATACAGTGCCTTTCACGTCTGGAGGACGTCACACGATTTACCGTACAGTGTAGTGACTGTGTACTTTGTAGGCAGTTTTGTGCCGTGTGTGTGTGTGAGCTAAAGAACTGGGGTAGCTTGGCTGTGATCCTCGCCTGTGGTCACATTTACTGCTGTTGCCAACTACCAACTGCCAACTTGTCGACTCATTTGACAAAAACCTGTAGGATGAGGAATAGGCTAACGTCAGCCTTCAGCAAAGAGGAGAAAGAAACTGGTCACAAGATAGAAAACAATCCAGTTAATTCTGAGAGGGATATCATGTGATTGCTGGCTGTTTGGAATGTGTCAAGTTATCAGAACTGTCCAATTGGTTTCTAAGCCACCCCCCAGCATCCTGCTATGAGCGCTATCCAGTGATTCCCCCCCACCCCATCCCCCTCAATAATAAACACACTGGGATGAAGACAGGGGTCTCTGCTTTCAGAATTCCACGGAAAGCGCTTTAAGACGTCTCAAAGACGTGATGAGGCACTCCATCAAATTGCAAGGATTATTAATATTAGTATTAAAGCTGAAAAGCAGAACTTTGTAATAAGGAGAAGGAATAAAACAAATTTTGTGCCTTTCAAATTAAAGTTGCTAAACGGGAAAAATAAGAGTGAGAAGTTTGAATAAGTGACTTTTATCTTTATTGTTGGTGCACATTCTGTCATTTTGTGCCATAAGCATTCTTCCTTGATGATATATTTATATGAGCTGTAACTGTAAAGTGGATTGACTGTGTTTCTGTGGGTGAAACGTGGCAGCCAGTTGCGCACAACAATGTCCCACAAACAGCCGTAGAGTGATTACCAATTTTATTTGGAGGATTGAAACATCGGGAGAAACTCCCTTCTCTTCTCGAATATGGCCATGGGATCCTTAACATCCATCTGAACAAGCAGACGGGACCTCGATTTAACATCTTATCTGAATGACGGCACCTCCGACAATGGAACTCACCCCAGCAATGCACTGGATTGTCAGCTCAGACTGTGCAATTCCAAGTCTCGATGTGGCGCTTGAACCCACAGCATTCTGACTCAGAGGTGGAACTGCTATTACTCAGCCAGGTTGACCAATAATAGGTTTATTATTTATGCAGAACACAGGAGCTGGATGACTGTTTACATGCCCAGTGAACCTGGCTATAAGGGTTTGTAATAAGGATTTTATGGATCCCAACAACTGCCTCACAATAAGGCTGAATAGCCGTGGAAGGTCAGAACTGAACAATTCACTCACAAGTCAAAGTAACAGCAACCCTCACTCAATCTTGTCAGCATTGTTGACAGGCACTTTATTTCTGTCATATCTGAATCTGACCTGTGTCAGATATAAAGTGCTTTTATTTGACAGGCACTTTATAGCTGAATCGGGTCTGATTCCTGGCTGACTGAGCTCGATCAAAATCTTCTCCTTCAGTCTGAGCAGATTGCAAAGCGAAGTATTGAGTGCAGTGACTTCATGTTGCAAAGTGGGCCTCTGTCTCTTCAAAGGCAAAGCGGCCTAAGTTACAGCCATGGAAAAATTCCTTAGGAATTTTAGGAATTCCCATTACAGTATTTTCAACACTTATGACACAGCCACATGAGGTCTGGCCTGATTTGTATGGAGCAGGTTAAAGTTCACCTTCGCTAATGCATCTGGATGACAGATATGAGGGAATGAGATAAACATTCGAAGAAGATGCATACAAAAGGGTCTAGGGAAAGGAAGAGTTGGGAATTGGGATTAGTTAGCTCCGTCGATGAGTTAGCACAAATTCACCCATAAATCACTTCATGCCTACCTCTCAAGCCCGCTCACACCCCACCCCTTTATTCACCCTCTTCGTTCAAACCGGCTCCAGCCTTTTGCACATTCCTCGTCCCCTGAACTCCACGATCAGTGGCAATGCTTTCAGCCCCTTTGTTAAGAAACTCTAACTCTCTGCCTCAATCCCTCTGCCTTGCTTCCTTTTTGCCCGTCTTCAGATGGCAAATGAAGACCTTCCTCTCCAACCATGCCTACGGTCACCTTCCCTTTCTCCCAGGGTCGCTATCAAGCTCCACCATTGTTAAACGCTCCAAGACAATATCCTGCATGTGTCAAATTGGACATCATATGCCTTGGCATTTTGGGAACAAGGATCTTTCCTAACTTTTACCTTCCTCCCACTTGCCGATAATTCACCTGCACAGGAAATTCCTGCCTGGGATAGTCAGCCAAATGTATACTCTCACAGCAGTGCACAAATCTATGGGGTACAATTAGAGTAACACACTGCAGATGCTCTGCTCATGTCCCAGTCAGTGACTGGCTGTGGTGCTGACTTCATTCACCTTGAGTTGCAGCTGCTGAGCTGGTCTGCAATGCCTTGAACCAGTTGTCATATGGATCTCAGTGAGGTGCCAAATGCAACAACCCACAGAGCAAACACACAAAGCTTTAGTCTTTCAGATATATTCATTTTTAAGATTTTGTTTTTTAATGAAATGACCATTCTCTGGATGAGTGAAAGGGTCAGATTTCAGATACATTTGCATAAGTCGAAACTTACAATCATGAGCTCTCATGAGCTCTTTCACCCCAAGAGTGCACTGGCTTTAACATCATGGCTAAGTCACACAGTATGTGAAGACAGAAATGTCACCGTAACTTGCAATAACTGTGTTTAAACAACAAAGCAAACCTAATGGAAAACCAGGCCTGAGCAGTATGGTTTTGGTGGCACAGTCTCTATTGTGGAAAAATAGCATTAAAATTTCATAAAGGTAAGAGATAGCCTTTGCTGTAAATAAAAATGTTTAAAGTTTAAATGAAAGCCACTCTGCTGCCCCCAAACACAGTGCACAGACAAGGCAAAGAGAAGAGAGAATAAATATTAACCTCTTCCTGAATTTTCACCTCGAGGCAGAAGCTTCTTTAGAGAAAGGGGAAAGCAAAATTGGGAACAAAAGCTTTTTTTAAAGAAAGTTGTAACAGACATTTGTGGGAAAGTCAGGAATGTGGCAGGCACGGAAATTGTTTGCTGTGTTTACGTTTGCATTTGCACTTTGTGAGAACTCTTAAGAAGCAGGGTTTTCAGCCTGTTCTGCAGTGTGTTACAGATAAGGAAGAGGAAGAGAAACCAACCAAGGCACAGACCCCAAACCTCCAGCTCATGACAAAAACTCTAAAAATAATTTATTTGGGTATTTTGATATTAAGCAAGACTTAACAGAGCTGAGGGTTATGTGCGCAACACACGTGCATTCAATCTCAATCAAACTCAGTTCTTCACAAAGTTTCTCCATAAACTGCTTACATTGAATTCAGTGAGGTTTAGTTTCTAATCCTGAATGAGTCAGAGTGGTTTAGTTAACTGGCTTCTAGCCAAGTGTCTTTGGGCTCTTGGATGAGGTACAGAGTGAGGGACCTACCACAGTTAAATACTGCTTCAGCTTAAAGGGCTGTGCCCACAATGGTTCAAGTGTCCAGCATGGACCTCTAACCGCATAGGGTGAGTCCTAGTCCAGGGGCTGTCTGTCATTCAAAGCTTTCGTGTGTACGTATTACTAACTTGTGGTTGGATCACTACAGCCTGAGGATCACTTGTGGGAGAAAGTAACATTTATTGTTCGGGGGGAGGGAGGGGAATTAAAAAGAGAACAATGTGCATTATCCACCTCATATTGCATGCTGGTCATTCCCGGACAGAGAAATTCCTGCAGCAGACTGTCCCATTCACAGTGAAAGGAGGATAGTCAGTGCTACTCAGTCATTCAAGGAAGAGAAACAAGATCCAATGAAGAGAAACATCCATCTAGGGAAACAATTTTTTTTAAAAAGACACAGGACCACACCCACATAACACTGAAGGATGAGCGTGAAGAGTTTTGATGCTTGTCTGTGTTTCTATCCATCACATAGCAAGACTTTCTCAGTTTTACTGCACCTTCGGGGGTCTGTTCTAAAGTTCTGCTGGCCCTGTCATCTTTCCTCACACAAGCCTTCTCACTCTCCCATCAGGAACAATGAACGAGGGGTGAGGGGACCAGGATTGACTCTGCCATTACCAGCCTCCTCTGCTCACTCTACCTTACAACAGGAGAAAATGACCATTCCATCCCTCATCAGGCAGTTTACAAACCAGGCTGCAGGAAGACCAAAAATGTGTATTACCGGGAAAATAACCTGCTGAATTTAAAAGACAGAAATAAATCAGTGTGAATAAAGACTACCCTGTCGTGGCAGGCAGGGCTTCTGGAACAGACTGTGGGATGGGAGGCCACCGTGCTTGAACAAGCTCCTATACTGCTATTGCTCAAGAGGTTGAGTTAACACAGGGTTACCTTTGGCATTCTGGGTGCTGAGAAGCTGCAAGTCTCCTACATTGTTCCTAATGGGAGTCAGGTGATTTTTGGTTACATCTGCAAGTGGCTTGCTATGTTGGCACTATCAATAATAACAGAATAAAACACAGGCGCACACGGAGCTGAAGTGTTGGGACTTTCTCCAGCATCATATGAGCAGGTCTAGCAGTTCGGAGCCAAGTCACTGGATGAGAATCCTCAATGTCCAAATTCATTTCCTTCAGATTTCCCTGTTTCATACAGTCTGTTTTTGACATTCACAATTTTACTTTTTTGGAGGCAAAACGTTTTCCTCAAAATATCCCTGGTTTGTGATGTTGCCGGCTGGGAAATATCTGGCCACGACAAACGTGGAGCCGTCTGAGGCTGTGGCTTTCCCAACTCCCATCTTTTTGGTGTTTTTCCAGACCATTGCTGTGAAGTGACCTGTGAGAGGGAATAACAAGAGCAAGAGTTAATGAGTGCTGGTGTTTCGGAGGAGGAGGATTACTATTAGTTAACTTAACAGCCCCAGCCTCTGTAATTAGCAAACCAAACACGGGTAGTGCACACGCTGACACAAACAAGATTTAGTCTCAGTCAATGTATGAAGCTTTAATTTCACAATCTATTGAGATGCTTAAAAGAAAGTACAAATTCCATTCCAACAATCTATCTCTGGGATTTCCATGTGTAGTTGGGATGCATGGAATTCTCAGCTTGGTCTGGATACTCTTAAGCATGGTGATGGGTTTCTGCATGTGTCAGGCTGACCAAAAAAAAAATCTATTAAAATTGCCTCAATAAGCTGAATGGCTCCTGTTCCTGTTTCTAAACTATGTGACCATTGCTCACATCCCATTCCCGAAATATCCATCCAAAGTGATCACATCTGGAATAACATAAGCTCAGATATATCTGAAACACATACAACAACTCTCTCCCAACACCCCCCCTCCACCACCCCCCGATCTTTAAAACATATCACTTCAGTGAAACAAACCTCAATGAAGGTTTGAAAACAAAACCCAATAACATAGCTAATAAAACAATGGTCCTCACACTGAGCCTCTCCCTCTGGGGGGAGAGCAGCACAAGAGGACAGGGCTTTTGTTCTGGATTTCCCAGGAGCAGAGGCTTCCCTCAGACAGGAGTCCCTGAGTCCATTCCTCTCTCACACACACCTGGAACCTAACACTCTGGGTACCAGGCATTGTCACACAGCTGTAGTTAGAAGGGTCACAGGAGTCGTGTCACTCAGATCAGTCTGAGCTCAGCCTTGTCTTGGAAGGCTGATGAGGGATCAGCCGGTGTAACTTGTAAATTCTCTTTAATGTTGATTCCTATTTTTCATTTGTGTTTCATTTTAAATTAGCAGTGTTGATTCAATCTCTACAGCTTTCTGGGGCAGAGCATTCCACATCTTCACAACCCTCTGTGTGAACAAATGCTCCCTGACCTCAGTTCCAAATATCTTAGTTCTGACTTAAGGCTATGCCCCCATGTAAAGGAATCCCTCTACCAGCAGAAGAGTCGTCCACAATCTAACCTGTCATGTAAATTCCTTTTGTTACCCCTTGCAAATCACCCTCTTAAACTCCTCTGCTCTAAGGTATAAAACCCCAGTCTACCTCACCTCCCATTATAACTAAGATCCTTCAGCACAAGTATTACAACAACAACAACAAAATTACAATTGTATTGCGCCTTTCACATCGGGAGGATATCCCAAAGCGCTGGACAGACAGAGTTACGGACCCGAGCTGGGGGTCAGGGTCAGGAAGGGTGGAGGGCAGGGGGGGGAAGCAGGGAGATCAAAAGCACGGTCGAAGAGGAAGGCCTTGAGATGGATCTTGAAGGTGGCGAGGGAGGGGGCAAGGCGGAGGGACTGCGGGATGGAGTTCCAGAGGGTGGGGGCAGAGTGGCAGGAAGCCTTCACACTAATAGTGGGGCGAGCAAGGCGGGAAACACGAAGCAGGCCAGAGCCCGCTGAGCGGAGGGAGTGAGCAGGATGGTAGGAGGACGCAGAGGTAGGGGGGAGCAAGGCCATGGAGGGCTTTGAAGGTGAGGACCAGGATCTTGAACTGTATCCTCTGTGTGATGGGAAGCCAGTGGAGTTGGTCAAGGATGGGGTTGATAAGGTCGCAGAGTCTAGTGCGGGAGAGGACATGGGTTCCAGAGCTCTGGATGATCTGCAGCCTGTGGAGGGAGGAGTTGGGGAAGCCGACAAGCAGCAAGTTTGCATAGTTAAGCCTTGATGTAATGAAGGCATGTATGAGGGTTTCGGTAGCCTGCGGTGTGAGACAGTGTCAGAGCCGGGTGACATTACGGTGGGGGGTGGCAGAGCGGATCCTGCCGCTGATTTGGGGTAAAAAGGATAGTTGAGGGTCAAACAAGATCCCAAGGTTCTGGACTGGCTTAGTGAGGTGTAGTGTGCAGCCATGGATGGTGATGCTGTCAGCGCCTGAGGTGTGGAGATGCTGACGGGAGCCAATCAGGAGAGCCTCGGTCTTGTTGATGTTCAACTGTAGAAAGTTAGCTCTCATCCAGGACTTGATGTCTGACAGACATTCTGTCAGTACAGCAGTGGTCCTGGAGTCAAGGGTGGAGGCAGAGAGGTATAGTTGGGTAATGTGCAAGTTGACCCCATGTCTGCGGATGATGTCACCAAGAGGGAGCATATAGATGTTGAAGAGGAGGGGACCACGGACAGAGCCCTGAGGAACGCCGCACGAGACGGTGTGGGGCTAGAGGAGAAGCCGTTTGTGGAGATGAAGTGGAGGCGGTGTGAGAGGTACAATCTGAACCAGTCAAGGGCAGAGCCATGAAGGTTGAGGTGAGAGGAGAGGTGGTGGATGAGGATGGAGTGGCCGACGGTGTCGAACGCAGCAGAGAGGTCAAGGAGGACAAGGAGGCAGAGGGAGCTCTGGCCGCAGATGGACAGAATGTCATTTGTCACTTCTACCCGGCTGTTTCTGTTCACTATTATTCTAGTGAACCATCATGGCCTCTTTCCAAAGATACCCTTCCTATGATTGGGTGCCCAAATTTGTACAGTTCTCCAAATGAGGTCTGACGAGAGCTCTATTCACCTGGAGAAGCACCTCCTTATGCCAGCGGCACCCGATTTGCTTTTGTTGTGACATTCGCAAATTGATTTGTTGAGTTCTAGTTTGCCAAATTTATGGCTGGAGAATTAGGATTCCTAATTTGTCAAAGTATGAAGAAATGTCAGCTTGAGGGAAACTGGCAGGAAGCCACCTTTTTTCTGAAGCTTGATTACAGCTTGCCAGATGTGATCGTGCAGTTGCGAAACTGGAAGTTGCAACATGTTGCTTGTTAAACATTTTGCCACGTCAGCATTTATAAAATAATAATAATCCTTGCATTTCATATGTTGCTTTTCACGTCTTCTAGACATCTCAAAGCGCTTCACAGAATATACTGTAAAGTGAATTGACTGTATATTTGTGGGCGAAACGCGGCAGCCAATTGCGCACAGCAGTGTTCCACAAACAGTCGTGGATCGAAGTGACCCATTTCTTTTTTTTCTTGAAGGATTATTATCAGGCGTGTGGAGTAAGGAAACTTGCCCCAGTGCCCTGCCGGGAATTGAACCGAGGCAAGTGCTCAACTACTGAACTACAGGACTACAGGACTCCATTTATGTGCAAACTACTCCAATCATAGAATTTTATGACAGCAATAATATTCATGTTCTGCAGTATGCAGGGAGTTAGCTGGTCTCAGCCAGGGCTACTGATATACTGCATGTGCAGCAGAAGGGCCACTCTGACAGAGAACAAGGACAACCAAGCACCAAATCTAACCTTCATTCAAGAATTTTCCCAAATTCTGGATGTTCTTAATTTTTAAGATAACTTTCGTGAGGTGATGACAATGAGAATTTTTGGACCACTTTTTTTTAATCTTCTTTTAAAAAGCATAAGAATAATCCTTGTATTTGACTGCACAAGAAGCCTTGTGACAACCTCCAGGAGTGAGTTAGCAAAATACTGTAACTTTTCAGCTGCTATATTAGCAATTAGCTGCGAGGCTTATGTGACGAGAAAAGGACGGGATCCCTGGCTGATTTTCTCCTCCCAGCTCACCCTGCTGTGGCTGAGATCAACTAATTCACTGCAATCTAACCATTCACCATTTATATTTATTTACAAAAGGCAGACAGGTGTGCTGTAACTGAAATGGAGGGAAAAGTCACATCAGTATTTTTATAATGTGGGTATTTTTGTATAAGCAATGGAACAATAAAGAACGAAAACACTTCTCTACCTCTCCAGTCTGCTCTCACACCTCACTCCTCTTCTGCACATCCCTCATCCCCCTCTACAACTGGCAGCCATGCTTTCAGCCTTTATGCCACAAAACTGGAACACTCTGCCTCAATCCCTCTACCTTGCCTCCACTTTTCCCATCATCAGATCACATGTGAAGACTTTGCTCTTTGATCGTGTCTACAGTCAACTCCCCCCTCTCCTCAGCTTGGCATCAAACTGTGCCACTGTGCAGCACTCCATGTGGAGGGTACTATATAAATGCAAGTTGTTGTTGTTGAAAAAGTATGCTGGCAAATGCAGAAAAACTCTAAAAGGCCATAAGCAGAAACTGAAGAACCGAGGTGGATATTTTACTCAGGGACCTATTGCTGTTGATGTTTTTGGCTTCTAAAATGAGACGTTGCTTAATTGTATCTGAGTCACGTCAAATTCCTCTCCTTTCTCCCCCCTCCCCCCACATCTGGCTTATGAGCCACTGTGCAGAGAGGTTGTGTAACTCGTGCTGGCTGAGAGGGGTACTTATGGCACTGGGCCTAAGTGGAACTAGCAAATGCAGAGATGGAATTCTTTAATATACTTCTGGAGAAAGCATCTTGTTATTCAATTGTTAACACATTCCCACATCCGAACTTTGTCATGTCGTAAACCCTGTCACACATGAGTCATGAGACACACAGAGAGTTGTGAGACAATCAGAGACACAGACAGACAGTGAGCTGTGAGACAGACAGACAGACAGACAGACAGACAGACAGACAGACAGACAGACAGACAGACAGACAGACAGACAGACAGACAGACATGAGGCAGATAGAGAGCTGTGGGATAGACAACAACAAATTACATTTATATAGCACCCGGCACGTCGGTAGGACGTCCCAAGGTGCTGGACAGTTGAGGGTTTGCATCCAAGGCGGGGTTTGGGTTCAGGAGGGAGGGGACCAAGGGCGTGGTGGTGATGGGAAGATATCCAAAGGCACGGTCAAAGAGGAAGCTTTTGAAGGAGGCAAGGACAAGGCGAATGGATGTTCCAGAAGGTGGGGCAGAATGGCTTAAATCCTTACCGCTGATGTTGGGCCGGGTAGAGTGGGGTAGGGGGGGACGGAAGTTGGTAGAGTTTAAGAGGGTCACAAAAGCAGAGTGCGAAGG